AATGTCTGTCCACAGCTGCAGGACTGAGACCTTCCTGCATGGAGCTGCATGTTCTCCCAATACAATACGGATGCACCGATGCCGATACTGGTATCGGCATCTGGCCCGATACCACGTGTTTGTACTCGTACTTGCATCCGGATACAAGCATACATTTGAGGCAGCGAAGAAGACCGCAGTGTGACGTCAAGAACCCACCAGTCAGAGTATAGAGAAGGAGGGAGCGAACACAAAAAGAGAGTTAGCCGGTTAGCCATGTTCGCTATTTGGAAATATTTCCAAATGAACGAGGACAACAAAAGTCAGGCTGTTTGCAAAATATGCAAATCAAAGTTTTCAAGGGGAGGAACAAACCCTAATAGTTACAACACAAGTAACCTAATAAAACAGTATTTCTGTTTGAGCCGAATGAAAATAAAAAAAGTTTAAATTAATTCTGAGAAGTTAATGGCACTTAATATTACTCGGTATCGGTACTCGGTATCGGCAAGTACTGAAGTTGAAGTACTTGTAATCGTACTTGGTTTTTAAGAAATCTGGTATCGGCACATCCCTACTGGCTACCTGTCTCTTCCCCAACGAACACTGAAGATGGATGCCATCTTCCCTGTAACCATGAAAGGATGGGTGGATAAAGAGACAGATGCTGTTTTCCTACTATGTGTAAATGCATCTTAAGCAAACTCCACTGTAGCTAGCAGCTCATAGTTGTTTGTTATTTTTGTTGCATCACATCAGGGGGTGAAGCTTGCTGGCAGCTAATCAGCAATATGGTGTAGCTTGAGTCTGAGAATATAAAAGAGGAGAAAACTACAGTGGTTTTATTGTTAGGTATAACCCATGTGCAAACGATCAAGGTGCAAAAGGCTGAGGGTTCAGATGGCATCAGCTCCAGGCTTCTGTTGTTGTGGAGATGAACCTTATGGCATTTTGTGCTACATGTTAAACTTAAGCCTGAGGCTACGAAAAGAACCACAGCTTTGGAAGACCTCTGTTTGCCAAAGATAAAACATCCAAAAGACCTCAGCAGCTACAGGCCGACGACACACCTGATGAAGACCCTCTAATGGTTGGTCTACGCCCCCTGGTGAAGACTTTGTGGAGTAAAAATTGTTGAGATATGTCTGTTCTTAGCCTCACAGGCTCCAAACGAAGGTCATGAGAGATAAGAATGAGTTACCAAAAAAAGCTTAGGTCCTTCAGTGTTTGCAGCAAGATGCTACGTATCTTCTATCAGTCTGTTGTGGAGAGTGGGATCTCTTCTGCATTAAAGAAAGAATGCAACCATTTTTTGGCATTTACTTAATCATATTTAGGTACTCTAACACAATTGTTGAATGTTCTACCCTGCTACCATGAAAAATATGTGTTAAAGTAACTAAATATGATCAAGTAAATACCAAAAACGGTTGCATTCTTTTTTTTTAGTGTGCCATCATCTGCTGGAGTAACAGTATTAGAGCTAATGACTTCAAAAAGCTCAACATGCTAATAAAGAAGGTCGGCTCTGTTCTAGGAACTCTTCTAGAACCTCTGGAGATTATTTCACAAAGTCTAATTCTACATAAAATCATGAAAATTATGGACAGCAGTGAGCATCCTCTTCATCAGACTGTTTTAAAAAAAAACAGTGCGTCTTTAATCAGAGGCTTTTCCAAACCTGCTGCAATACAGACCGCTGCAGAAGATCCTTCCTGCCTACATCTTTAAAATAAAGCAACTCCTTGAAAATAAATCCTGAGTTACTATATTTAATTTCTCTTTTGAATCAAAGAAAGAGATCTTTAATTGATTAAAGATTTTTAGGGCTGAAAGGTCAACATTTCTCACTACTTTTAGTGTAAAACTAAATCTGTCAAACATGGTGGTGGTAGTGTGATGATCAGGGCTACTCTGCTGCTACAGGATGGCTGGAAGGAGTTAATGGAACCAGTTCTGCTCCTTTGATATCAGAATTTGGGGTTTCCGGATGGTCTCTCCAAAGCCCTGAAACGTAACACCTCCCTGCTTAACATCTGTGAACTACAGTACGTCCCGTGGCTGGAAAACATTCAGGGGAAACAGAGACCAACAGATCTTCTAAAATGATCGGCTCAATGCAGCCAGAGCTACACCAGAACCCCATGATGACATGAAACAGAGCGTTTGTATCTATGATTTTGAGAAAATAATGAGCTTTGCATGTTTTTCATTGACCAGGCTGCCATCCCAACCAGCGGCGATTTACCATTAGGCAATGCTAGGCAGTTTCCTAGGGCCCCAAGTTCCTGGGGGCCCCGTAAAACTTGTTTTACATGTATGGTTAATACAACTATTCCTTATTTGTGCACATTAATTATGTTTTTGATAAAAATCATTTCATTAAAAGTGTGTCTCAGCCCCCCCCTTCAGTGTCCACCATATTGGATCAGTCCATTTGCTGCACATGTTCAGAAAGGTCCAAACAGACAGCAGCAAACCATTTGAAAACAAACCATGCAAAGAGCAGTGTTGCCAACTTAGCGCTTTAGTCGCTATATTTAGCCACTTTTCAGACCCCTCTAGCACTTTGATTTCTAAAAAGCTCCTAGCGCCAAATCTAGAGACTTTTTTCTGCTACTGGAGACTTTGGAGACAACATCTAAAAGCAGCGAACTCTGCTCTCCAGAGCGAGTAGATTGGTAACCCCCAGAGATGGCACATTCCGTACTTGAGTAAAAGTACAGATACTTGTGTAAAAAAATCCTCTGGTAAAAGTGGAAGTACTGATTAAACTTCTTTACTCAAGTAAAAGTAACAAAGTACAGGCTTGTAAATTTACTTAAAGTATAAAAGTAAAAGTAGAAACCACTTTTTTCATGCCGTTGCCTACATTTTAAATGGATGTCTGCCAATAGGACTAGATCTCCGTTGTGTTCATTTTCAATCATCTCGTCGTCCATGCTACTATGCTAACGCCACCGCCACCAAGCTGCAATGATTTGCCGCCAATGAATACCGCCGAATCTGTCGATTCATCTTGTAGTGGTGCGTCAAATGCAACGTAGATTCACATCCAATTAGATTGAATTTGGTATTGATGACGTGAAAAATAATAACGGTAACTCCATTGAAATGATTCAAAACTAAAGTAACGAGACAATTTTTTAAATGTAAGGAGTAGAAAGTACAGATATTTAGGTAAAAATGTAAGGAGTAGAAGTAAAAAGTTGCCATAAAAATAAGTAGTAAAGTAAAGTAAAAATATCAGAAAAAGTATTTGTACTTCGTTACTTCCCATCTCTGGTAACCCCGCCTCCTGCTCTCCTCTATCTTGTCTGCTGTCATGATTCATGCAGCTATTATTTCATCCAAATGAAAAATGGAGAACAGATAAGCAGATCATGGCTTGTCTACAGTGAAAAGAAGGACTGGGTTATTTACTTTGGCCTTTTTGGAAACACAGGAAGGAGCAATCAGCTAAGTGAGCTTAGTGCTTGGAAAAAATCTTTCATTCCTTTAGAGACAGCATGAAAAGTCAGCTGAGTACAAAACATAGAGAGGAAAACAAGAAGAAAAGGGACAAGAAGAGAGGGACACAACCTAGAACAGATAATGGATGTCTATTCTATTAACATTTCTCATTATCAGTTTGTATGAAATCGTACGAAAAGTTATGCACAGTATTTCGTACGTAAAGAGCAGATCCGTGGACGGACGTAAAACTAGGATAAACAGTGCAATAATCCCTTCTTCAGGTCTCTAACTAGGTTGCTTGCTGTTTTGTATCTTAGGGTCAGGGTAAATTGTATGTTAAATTCTATGTTATTTAATGGTGCGTAAGATGCGCATGCGCAAGGATATCTTGTCTCAAGGCAAGACGTAAAAATACGACGAAATGCGACGAAAAAATCGTCTAAAACGTACAAAATGACGGGGGATAACTCTTCGTACCATTTCATACGAACTAATAAGAATACAACTAATGAGAATACACTGATTCTATTAACTGCCTGTCTTTGCCTAGGGCCCCAGATTTCCTAAATCCACCCCTGCTCCCAGCTAAAGTGGCTAAAGTTACTTAACTGATCTGATTATCATGCAAATCATCAGGTTTATTTGTAAAAAAAAAAAAAAAAAAAAAATGGAGTTTCAATCTGGTTATCTACATCTATTAAGGTTCCAGCTCTGTTAATTATTTGGTTGCATATCAGTGAACAAAGGCATCAGTTGGTTTAAATGCAAACAGTAAGCTAATAACTGTCCACAGGATGCATAGATGGCTCCTTTTCTGTGATCTAAGAGAAGATTAGAAAGGTAAATCCTGCAGCACCCACAGGTTAAAACATTCCCAGCAATGAGAGTTCTTGGTGTTTGATGACGTAAAAGCTGCTGCAGTCCAGCCATAAACAGAGTGGACATGATGACAGGGAGGGATGTTCAGAGCAGTGAACGGGAATCCTTCAGATCAACAAATAAACAAAGCAGCCTCTCTGCTGTCAGCTGCAGGGACGCTTCAGACACCAGCTCCTCCTGGACATCCTGCTCCTCCTTTGTCTCCCAGACTCCTCCAGCCTGCGTCCTCTGCTGTCAAATCAAATTCCTCGCTCTCCATCATACCCCCCACCCCCCTCCATCTTCCTCCATCTTCTCTCTCTGGATGACTTATTCCAGGCTCCATAAGCTGCCAGATTCTACCTTTAACGGGTCTGATGACATGAGAATGTGAACTGATTAAACACCATGTCTGTTTTCTCACATGGGAAGAGCAAACAAAGCCTGCAGAGACAGTGATTGTTGCATTAGAGGTGTGTTATAATTCATTCAGAGCTGCTGTCCTTCTGGTTCAGAGTAAAGGAGAAACTGAGTCTCTAATAAAGAGGAGGAGGCTTCCCTTTATCTCACCTCCTGCAGAAGGAGATCAGATATTTGTGGAACAATGACAACAAAAGGAATCCAGCTGTTTGCTTCTCTGTGGCCTCCACCCTGCAGCTCCCAGCCCATGCATGCATCCCCCTCATCCAGACCCGGACCATGCCTACCTTCTCGGCTCCTCTGTGTTTCTTGGCCGCTGGAGGCTCGTCGTGCAGCCGCCTGACAACAATAGCTCCCGCGCCGTTCTTTACTCCACAGTCCGGCGCTGGTTTCCCGGAGGCTCCGGGGATGGTGGTGCTTTCCCCCGCGGGGATCCGGGGCTCCGGCACGGGGCCGAGGCAGTGTCCGGGGCCCAGGTGATGCTCCGGCAGGAAGGCGGAGGAGGGCGGAGGAGACGGGCCATCATCGCCGGGCTTCTCCTTCCTGACCCGGCCGGGCGCAACGGGTGCGTCCCGGTCTCTCTTCCAGCCCCGGATCAGGTTCTTGCCCTTCCTGTCCTCCTTGCCTTTGGCCGCAGGAGGTGCGGCCGCGCCGGGCTCCTGCATCCCGCCGCTGCTGTTATTGTTTCCGTCCGCATCCCTGCCGGCCGCTGAAATCATCTCTTCTGCGCCTCCGCCGCTGCGCCCTTGAGGCTGCGGCCGCAGATGAACACCGAGCCCCGGACGCGCTTCCGGATGATCCGCCGCCCCCTCCGGATCCTCCCTTCCGTCCTGGCCGCCTCGGCTGCGTTTGAGCGCGGATCTCCTCGGCTCCGACCCGCCGCCTGGTCCCCGGGTCTGGAGCGAGGACAGGGCCGCGTGTCTGTGGGCTGAGGAGGAGGAGGAGGAGATGCAGGAGGAGGAGGAGGAGGAGGAGGAGGCGGTGTGGTTGGGTGACAGCTCCCTGCAGTCTGTCAGCAGCTCTCCATTCTCCTCAGCTCTCAGGAAACGTTTCATCTCCTCCTCTCCTCTCCTTTGTTGATCTCCGCGATCATCAGCATTCAGGTCATCATCGGAGCGCCAGCAGCCGCAGTGAAGCTCAGAGGTGGAGGAGCCCCTGATGGAGCCCCTGATGGAGCCCCTGATGGAGCCCCTGATGGAGGCTCTGATGGAGCCTCTGATGGAGCCTCTGATGGAGCCTCTGTTGGAGCCTCTGATGGAGCCTCTGATGGAGCCCCTGATGGAGCCCCTGATGGAGCCCCTGATGGAGCCCCTGATGGAGCCTCTGATGGAGCCTCTGATGGAGCCTCTGATGGAGCCTCTGTTGGAGCCTCTGATGGAGCCTCTGATGGAGCCCCTGATGGAGCCTCTGATGGAGCCTCTGATGGAGCCTCTGATGGAGCCCTGATGGAGCCTCTGATGGAGCCTCTGATGGAGCCTCTGATGGAGCCTCTGATGGAGCCCTGATGGAGCCTCTGATGGAGCCTCTGATAGAGCCTCTGATGGAGCCCTGATGGAGCCTCTGATGGAGCCCTGATGGAGCCTCTGATGGAGCCCTGATGGAGCCCTGATGGAGCCCCTGATGGAGCCCCTGATGGAGCCTCTGATGGAGCCCTGATGGAGCCCCTGATGGAGCCCCTGATGGAGCCCCTGATGGAGCCTCTGATGGAGCCTCTGATGGAGCCTCTGATGGAGCCCTGATGGAGCCCCTGATGGAGCCTCTGATGGAGCCTCTGATGGAGCCTCTGATGGAGCCCCTGATGGAGCCTCTGATGGAGCCTCTGATGGAGCCTCTGATGGAGCCTCTGATGGAGCCTCTGATGGAGCCTCTGATGGAGCCTCTGATGGAGCCCTGATGGAGCCTCTGATGGAGCCTCTGATGGAGCCCTGATGGAGCCTCTGATGGAGCCCCTGATGGAGCCCCTGATGGAGCCCCTGATGGAGCCTCTGATGGAGCCTCTGATGGAGCCTCTGATGGAGCCTCTGATGGAGCCTCTGTTGGAGCCTCTGATGGAGCCTCTGATGGAGCCCTGATGGAGCCTCTGATGGAGCCTCTGATGGAGCCCCTGATGGAGCCTCTGATGGAGCCTCTGATGGAGCCCCTGATGGAGCCCCTGATGGAGCCTCTGATGGAGCCTCTGATGGAGCCCTTATGGAGCCTCTGATGGAGCCCCTGATGGAGCCTCTGATGGAGCCTCTGATGGAGCCTCTGATGGAGCCTCTGTTGGAGCCTCTGATGGAGCCTCTGATGGAGCCCTGATGGAGCCCCTGATGGAGCCCCTGATGGAGCCCCTGATGGAGCCTTGATGGAGCCTCTGATGGAGCCCCTGATGGAGCCTCTGATGGAGCCTCAGATGGAGCCCTGATGGAGCCCCCTGATGGAGCCTCTGATGGAGCCTCTGATGGAGCCCTGATGGAGCCTTCTGATGGAGCCTCTGATGGAGCCTCTGATGGGCCTCTGCCTTCTGATGGAGCCCTGATGGAGCCCCTGATGGAGCCCTGATGGAGCCTCTGATGGAGCCTCTGATGGAGCCCTGATGGAGCCTCTGATGGAGCCCCTGATGGAGCCTCTGATGGAGCCTCTGATGGAGCCTCTGATGGAGCCTCTGATGGAGCCCCTGATGGAGCCCTGATGGAGCCTCTGATGGAGCCCCATTGCCTCTGATGAGCCTCATGATTGGAGCCTTCCTCTGATGGAGCCCCCTGATGGAGCCTCTGAAGGAGGCCCTCAGATGGAGCCTCCTGGATGGAGCCCTCTGATGGAGCCCCTGATGGAGCCTCTGATGGAGCCTCTGATGGAGCCTCTGATGGAGCCTCTGATGGAGCCTCTGATGGAGCCCTGATGGAGCCTCTGATGGAGCCTCTGATAGAGCCTCTGATGGAGCCCTGATGGAGCCTCTGATGGAGCCCTGATGGAGCCTCTGATGGAGCCCTGATGGAGCCCTGATGGAGCCCCTGATGGAGCCCCTGATGGAGCCTCTGATGGAGCCCTGATGGAGCCCCTGATGGAGCCCCTGATGGAGCCCCTGATGGAGCCTCTGATGGAGCCTCTGATGGAGCCTCTGATGGAGCCCTGATGGAGCCCCTGATGGAGCCTCTGATGGAGCCTCTGATGGAGCCTCTGATGGAGCCCCTGATGGAGCCTCTGATGGAGCCTCTGATGGAGCCTCTGTTGGAGCCTCTGATGGAGCCTCTGATGGAGCCCCTGATGGAGCCCCTGATGGAGCCCCTGATGGAGCCTCTGATGGAGCCTCTGATGGAGCCCTTATGGAGCCTCTGATGGAGCCCCTGATGGAGCCTCTGATGGAGCCTCTGATGGAGCCTCTGATGGAGCCTCTGTTGGAGCCTCTGATGGAGCCTCTGATGGAGCCCCTGATGGAGCCCCTGATGGAGCCCCTGATGGAGCCCCTGATGGAGCCTCTGATGGAGCCTCTGATGGAGCCCCTGATGGAGCCTCTGATGGAGCCTCTGATGGAGCCCCTGATGGAGCCCCTGATGGAGCCTCTGATGGAGCCTCTGATGGAGCCCTGATGGAGCCTCTGATGGAGCCTCTGATGGAGCCTCTGATGGAGCCTCTGATGGAGCCTCTGATGGAGCCCTGATGGAGCCCTGATGGAGCCTCTGATGGAGCCTCTGATGGAGCCTCTGATGGAGCCCTGATGGAGCCTCTGATGGAGCCCCTGATGGAGCCTCTGATGGAGCCTCTGATGGAGCCTCTGATGGAGCCTCTGATGGAGCCCTGATGGAGCCTCTGATGGAGCCTCTGATGGAGCCCTGATGGAGCCTCTGATGGAGCCTCTGATGGAGCCCTGATGGAGCCTCTGATGGAGCCTCTGATGGAGCCTCTGATGGAGCCTCTGATGGAGCCCTGATGGAGCCTCTGATGGAGCCTCTGATAGAGCCTCTGATGGAGCCCTGATGGAGCCTCTGATGGAGCCCTTATGGAGCCCTGATGGAGCCCTGATGGAGCCCCTGATGGAGCCCCTGATGGAGCCTCTGATGGAGCCCTGATGGAGCCCCTGATGGAGCCCCTGATGGAGCCCCTGATGGAGCCTCTGATGGAGCCTCTGATGGAGCCTCTGATGGAGCCCTGATGGAGCCCCTGATGGAGCCTCTGATGGAGCCCTGATGGAGCCTCTGATGGAGCCCCTGATGGAGCTTCTGATGGAGCCCTGATGGAGCCTCTGATGGAGCCCCTGATGGAGCCTCTGATGGAGCCTCTGATGGAGCCTCTGATGGAGCCTCTGATGGAGCCTCTGATGGAGCCCTGATGGAGCCTCTGATGGAGCCCTGATGGAGCCTCTGATGGAGCCTCTGATGGAGCCCTGATGGAGCCTCTGATGGAGCCTCTGATGGAGCCTCTGATGGAGCCTCTGATGGAGCCCCTGATGGAGCCTCTGATGGAGCCTCTGATGGAGCCTCTGATGGAGCCTCTGATGGAGCCCCTGATGGAGCCTCTGATGGAGCCTCTGATGGAGCCTCTGATGGAGCTCTGATGGAGCCTCTGATGGAGCCTCTGATGGAGCCTCTGATGGAGCCCTGATGGAGCCTCTGATGGAGCCTCTGATGGAGCCTCTGATGGAGCCTCTGATGGAGCCTCTGATGGAGCCCTGATGGAGCCTCTGATGGAGCCCCTGATGGAGCCTCTGATGGAGCCCTGATGGAGCCTCTGATGGAGCCTCTGATGGAGCCCTGATGGAGCCTCTGATGGAGCCTCTGATGGAGCCTCTGATGGAGCCCTGATGGAGCCTCTGATGGAGCCCTGATGGAGCCTCTGATGGAGCCCTGATGGAGCCTCTGATGGAGCCCTGATGGAGCCCTGATGGAGCCCTGATGGAGCCTCTGATGGAGCCCTGATGGAGCCTCTGATGGAGCCTCTGATGGAGCCCTGATGGAGCCCCTGATGGAGCCTCTGATGGAGCCTCTGATGGAGCCCCTGATGGAGCCCTGATGGAGCTCTGATGGAGCCCCTGATGGAGCCCTGATGGAGCCTCTGATGGAGCCCCTGATTGAGCCCCTGATGGAGCCTCTGATGGAGCCCTGATGGAGCCTCTGATGGAGCCCTGATGGAGCTCTGATGGAGCCCCTGATGGAGCCCCTGATGGAGCCTCTGATGGAGCCTCTGATGGAGCCTCTGATGGAGCCCCTGATGGAGCCTCTGATGGAGCCTCTGATGGAGCCTCTGATGGAGCCCCTGATGGAGCCTCTGATGGAGCCTCTGATGGAGCCTCTGATGGAGCCCCTGATGGAGCCTCTGATGGAGCCCCTGATGGAGCCTCTGATGGAGCCTCTGATGGAGCCCCTGATGGAGCCTCTGATGGAGCCTCTGATGGAGCCTCTGATGGAGCCCTGATGGAGCCTCTGATGGAGCCCTGATGGAGCCTCTGATGGAGCCTCTGATGGAGCCTCTGATGGAGCCTCTGATGGAGCCCTGATGGAGCCTCTGATGGAGCCTCTGATGGAGCCCTGATGGAGCCTCTGATGGAGCCCTGATGGAGCCTCTGATGGAGCCCTGATGGAGCCCTGATGGAGCCTCTGATGGAGCCTCTGATGGAGCCTCTGATGGAGCCTCTGATGGAGCCCTGATGGAGCCCCTGATGGAGCCTCTGATGGAGCCTCTGATGGAGCCCCTGATGGAGCCCTGATGGAGCTCTGATGGAGCCCCTGATGGAGCCCTGATGGAGCCTCTGATGGAGCCCCTGATGGAGCCTCTGATGGAGCCCTGATGGAGCCTCTGATGGAGCCCCTGATGGAGCCCTGATGGAGCCCCTGATGGAGCCCCTGATGGAGCCCCTGATGGAGCTCTGATGGAGCCCTGATGGAGCCTCTGATGGAGCCTCTGATGGAGCCTCTGATGGAGCCCCTGATGGAGCCTCTGATGGAGCCTCTGATGGAGCCTCTGATGGAGCCTCTGATGGAGCCCTGATGGAGCCTCTGATGGAGCCCTGATGGAGCCCTGATGGAGCCCTGATGGAGCCTCTGATGGAGCCCCTGATGGAGCCCCTGATGGAGCCCTGATGGAGCTTCTGATGGAGCCCTGATGGAGCCTCTGATGGAGCCCCTGATGGAGCCCTGATGGAGCCC